GTATACATTTTGATAGTTATTTACACTTTCAGTTTCTCACACCAGAGAAACTATTTGGTATTTACACATGTGTGTCCTATTTATTTCATTTAAGAAGCCTGGGGATTTAGCTCAGTGGTTCTGCTGCCTGCCTCAAAAGCGCAAGGTCCTGAGTTTGATCCCTGGTACCAAAAACAAAAAAAACAAAAAAACCCAGGTTTATTTCACTTAGGAGTATAGCCTCAATGTGCATCCATTTAGCTATAAATGTGTCTAGTTTCTTATTCTTTTGGGGGGGGGCACCAGGGATCGAACTCAGGTTGCGCTTGCTTAGCAGGTGGTGAAACCACTGAGCTAAATCCCCAGCCCTTCGTTTCTCATTCTTTATGGCTGAGTAGTACTCTATTTTATAAAAAAAGAAAACCCACATCTTTATCCAGTCTCCAGTTGATGGGCAATTGGGTTGTTTCCAAGTTTTAGCTCTTACAAACTGTGCCACTATAAACATGGGCGCACATATATCACTGTGGTATGATTTTTTTAATTCTTTTGAGAAGATACTCACCAGGGGAATAGCTGGGTCAAATGGGACCACTAATCCTAGTTTTTTGAGATATCTCCATACTGATTTCCACAGTGGTTGCACCAGTCTACACTCCTACCAACAGTGGAGAAAGGTTCCTTTTTCTCCACACTGAGTAGCTTTTTAAACTGAAGATTCATTGTCATGGTTTTAGAATCAGAGAATACAGAAGTGAGATATGGTTGTAAACATTATTTTAGACCAGCTTAAGAAAAGCTTAGAAATTGTAAAAAATAGATTGGCACAGTCTTAAATTACACTGGACTATTCCAATTAATCTTATTAATAAGATTATTTTATGATTGACTCAACAAAGTCTTTTTTTGTTTTTTATTATTATTTTTTTTTTTTTTTTGGTACTGGGGATCGAACTCGGGTCCTTGAGCTTGCGCAGCAGGCGGTGAAACCACTGAGCTAAATCCCCGGCCCAACTCAACAAAGTCTTACATTCAAAAACCCAGTCTTAAGAAAAATTTCCCTCTTAAAAATTTTTTAAAAAGGGACTGGAGATTTAGCTCAGTGATGTCACACCTGCCTGGCAAGGGCAAGGTCCTGAGTTCGATCCCCAGTTCTGAAAAAATAAAATTTAAAAGAAGAAAAATCACCTCATTTTGTTCAAGATAAAATAGTTTTCTAAACATTTCATAAGAAGAAAATTAATTTCTAGTATTTCTCTAATTAACATGAAGTAAGACTATAAATAGTCTGAATAAAGATTAAGAAAACAATACATTTCTAGAACATAGCAGAAGAGAGTAATAAACAACTATGGTAGAAGCCTGGTGTGGTGGCAAGAGTCTGTAGTCCCAGCTACTCAGGAGGAGGAAGTGGGAGAATCACTTGAACCTAGAAGTTCAAGGCTACCCTAGGGAATGTAGGAAAACCTCATCTCACAAAACACAACTATGAGGGCTGGGGATTTAGCTCAGTGGTTTTTGCCGCCTGCCTTGCAAGCGCAAGGGCCCAAGTTCGATCCCGGGTACCAAAAAAAAAAAAAAAAAACTATGAAAGAGCTAGTTAACCAGGATATATTTATATCTACATTTTTTATTCCTCCCAAAATAGTTTCTGTGGTTTGTTGTTGGTTTTGGCGTTGGAGATTGAACCCATGGCATTGAGCATGCTAAGCATGTGCTCTACCACTATGCTACATCCTCAGCTACAGATTTTTGTTTTTAATGGGAATCCATTATTATAAGAAGACATTGGCTACAGCTGTTGCAGAATCCAAGCGACAGGAGAGACCAATGGGAAACAGGAGGACTTTATTTTAGGTGAACACTGGCTCAAGGGAGTAATGTCCAAAGAAAGGAAGAGTGTTGAACAAAGAAAACATTAATTTTTGTTTAAAAAAAAAGGAAACTCTCTGGTAAAGAAGTTAACAAAAATTAATGGATATAATTTTAGTAAAATACATAAAATCTACATGAATGTTCAGTTGTTTGACTTCGCCAATTTACTTTCAATATCATCTTGAACTTAGTTTTTATTGCTACTTTTTCAAATCATTAGACATTTATAAGCAAAGTAGCAGTGTAGGGCCAAGGATTTAGATCAGTGGTTCCGCTGCCTGCCTCACAAGCACAAGGTCCTGAGTTCAATCCTTGGTACCAAAAAAAAAACCTATAAGGAGTGCCCACTATGTTCTGGGGATATAGCATTGAACAACAACAGAAATCCCCAAATTCTTCACTTCTGTGAGATTTTGTTCTAATCAGGAAAAGGAACAATAAACAAATATATCTCAAACAAATAAATTCAAGTTGCAAAAGATCTTTACAATATGATGCTATTTATGAACATTTTAAAACAAGACTATGGATTCATAATTAGTAAAAGTACAAACACATATATGGAAGGAAGAATACATCCTGAACATGGTGGAAATTTCCAAGTGGCTTATGGAGGCAGAAAGAAAAGAGAAGAATCTGGTGTAACTGTAGGATTTGGGGCAAGTTATCTGTCCATCTGTCCCCCCCGCCCCCAAACCCCAGTACTGGGAATCAAACTCAGGACCTTGTGCTTGATAGGCAGGCGTGGCACCACTGAGCCACATTTCCAGCTATCTGCCCTTTCTGAGAATCAGTTTCTTTGTAAAATAGGAATAACATGCCAGTGTAATCCCAGCACTGGGGACACCTGAGGCAAGAGGCTCACAAATCTGAGGCCAACCTGAGTAACTTAGGGAGATCTGGTTTCAAAATTAAAAAATAAAGAATGAGCTGGGGGGCCAGGGATTTAGCTCAGTGGTCCCACCGCCTGCCTTGAAAGCAAAAGGTCCTGTGTTCAATCCCCAGTACCAAAAAAAAAGAATGAGCTGGGGGCAGAGCTCAGTGGTAGAGCACACCTAGGTTCTAGCCCCAGTTCTGAAAATAAATAAATAAAAAAGAATGAAAGAAAAGAGAGAATAACAATATTGTCGCTATATGAAACCCTGTCTCAAAAAACCAATACATGTAGTTATTAAAAGGGTTAAGTGAGATAATTCAGGTACAGCACCCAGCATAATGCATGGCACAAAAATAGTGTCTCCCCCATACTCTTAAGTGAAAAAATTGGACACACATGTTTAAATACTGCATTGTTTCTCCGGCATGAGAAACTGAAAATGAAAATAAGGACTGAGATGTTCAATGGATGTTGGGAAATGGGAAGAAAGTGTTCAAATGGGAAGGGGAACAAGGGAGGAAGGAGGGAGAAAGGAAGGAAGGGACAAGAAAAAAGAAAAAATAGAAGGAAAAAATGGAAACAAAGCTTTTGTACACAGGGAGGGGAGGGGACTTGAGGGGGAAAATGGGATAAAATAAAACAAAATTTAATTTTTAAAAACAGTGTCTTCTGCCAGATGTGATGGCACACACCTGGAATCCCAGGACTCGGGAGGCTTAGGCAGGATTGAAACCTCAACCCCAGGGGATTTAGCTCAGTGGTGCTGCCACCTGCCTTGAAAGCGCAAGGTTCTGAGTTCAATCCCTGGTACCAAAAAAAAAAAAAAGCCCTCAAGAGATATAATAAGATCATGGTAGAATCCAAGAAAGTTCAAGCCCAGCGTGGTCAACTTAGTGATTTAGTGAGACTGTATCTCAAAAAAGTTTGTTTTAATTTTTAAAGGGCTGGGGATGTAGCTAAGCGTGAAGGCCCTGGGTTCAATCTCTAGTAACACCCCCCCCATACACACAATTAATTATATTGTCTTAACAAGATTGCTTAATCTCTTGAGATTTCAAGGAATTAAAATTCTTGAAAAATATAACCAGGCCAGTTACTACAGAGGTAATGAAGGCTTTCTCTTTTTTTTTTTGGTACCAGGAATCGAACTTGGGACCTTGTGGCACCACTGAGCTAAATCCCTGGCCCTGAAGGCTTTCTACCTACGTACTTACCATATTATCTTTCTCCTGCTTCTGCTTCTTCAGATAGTTTAATACCGACATCGTGTCTTTCTCCATTTTATACTGCTGTTTCTTAAAGTCTTCATTACTTTTGGCCAGTCTCCAGGAAGTATCACGATATTCAATCCTAGACAGTTCTGTGACTTCCATCTGCCCTCCCAAAGGGCGGCATTGGCCTTGGCTTGATCCACCACAGAGACAGAATCATCTGTTTTTCCTGTTTTCCTGCACGGGAAAAGGATATTGAAAGTATATAACTAGGTCTACTATATTAGGGTTCTCTCTCTCTTTCTCCCTGGCACACATGACCAAATATTGTTGGATGAATGGGTTATGAAATAAGAAATATATATACTAATAATAGAAATAGTATAATATAATACTAGTAGTAGTATTCACACACTTTTAAGTAGGTGCCTCTTCCTGGAAAAAGAGAGCTCTGGAGCATAATTCTAAAGGACTGGAAAAACAAAGAGGCAAGAGGCAAGTCAAAGTCATTTCACAAGCTTTCATATCTTTTTTATTTTTGGTACTGGGGATTGAACCCAGGGCCTCGTACATGCTAGGCATGCATTCTACCCCTGAGTTACATCCCCAGCCCTTCTAAAAACGTTTTTATTTTGAGATAGTTTCACTAAATTGCTCGGACTGTCCCGACCTTCCTTAGTAGTTGGGATTATAGACATATATAACCATGCTTGCCTCACAATTTTTTATTTACCTCTTCAATTCTTTCATATTTGAACTATCTTTTCTATTCATATTCAGTTGTGAACTTTGGTTCTCTCCATTCCAAACCTATTCCCTACTTTGTTGCTGTTTTGCATGAGAATACATTAGTAATGTACCTGTAATTTCCTCACCCATGCTATCCCCAGTTTTGTATTGGGTTTTTGTTTTCATTGTTTCATTGTTTTGGCTAGGCCTTGGACAACAAAGCAAGCTACTTGAGCAAATATGTTAAATATTTTGCCAGCTAGTACCAGTGTGCCAGACTTTTAAAATGCCTAAGAAGCAAGTATCATTTATACAAAGGTGGAAAAGAAAAAAAAAATAGGGAGTGGGGGTATGGCTCAGTGGTGAGGCCCTGAATTCGATCCCTAGTACCATAAAAATAAAATAAAATAAATTAATAAATACTAAAAGGATGGATTCGAAGATTAAAGTGATAAAAGGAAGCTGGGTAAGGTGGCATATGCCTGTAATCCCAGCACTTGGCAGGCTGAGGCAGAAGGATTGCTGAGAATTCTGGCTAGCCTGGGCTACATAGTGAGACCCTGTCCCAAAAAACAAAACAAAAAGTGATAAAAAGAGAGATTTTTTTTCAGCCAGGTGTTACACATATGCCTATAACCCCAGCACTCTAAGAGACTGAGGCATAAGGAAGCAAAGTTTTGAGGCCAGCATGGACAACTGAGTGCCTTAGCAAGACCGTCTCAAAATAAAACAAAAAAAGGGCCTGGGAATGTAGCTCACTGGGAAGGCACAGGGTTGAATCCCTGGTATGAAAAAAAAAATCAAAATATTTATTGGATGAATATTAACAAAACTGTATGGTAGGTACTAGGTATATATGGAATATACAAAAATTTCACCGTATTTGCCAACTGAATATTCTCACACATGTATAAATGGAACTTTTTATACTGCAACCTCTGTATACTGTACTTCTCAACTCTGGGTTCTCAGTCTCTTTTTCACTCCTACTTTTCTTCTCTTCTAATTAAGGCCAGTCCCCTCACCCCTACCTTGTTATAGCTGTTGATCTCAGAGGCATCTGATTTAAACACTAGTGATGATTGCCTTGTTGTAATCATCCAGCTGCCCCCTGAAGGTATCAAAGTATTTAATGCAAGAAATTAGATACCTCAGACAGGAGGACCACTGTTATGGCTCATACGGAGAATACCCCTAGAGGTCTCAGGGGCTCATAGGTGAGGCTTTTGGAAGAAGATGAGTGGATGCTACTACTGACTTGCTGTTAGGAAGGGGGTCCTGGTGGGGGGGTGGGGGGGCTCACTTGGGAGCATGACCTGGAGGACTATATATCTTCCCTCCTAGCTCCTCCCTTTTCTCTCTGCTTCCTGGTCACCATGATGTGAGCAGTTTCCTTGGCCCAGACCCTTCCACCATGCCTTTCTGCCTTGCAGCCAGCTGGCCAAGGACTGAAAATAAACTTCTCTTCCTTTAAGTTGTGGGTGTCGGGTGTTTTGTCCCAGTGAGGAGAAAGGGACTAATACAACCACTAACAGCGACTGGGAAAACAAAGCAAAGTTCCTCAAATAATGAACATCCAAGGAATAAAAAGTCTCTTAGCTCCAGTGGCCCTCATTTTTCACATGTGTACCGCAGATGCATGGGGAAAAAAAAAATCCCAGGGCCTCTGACCCTAGCCACATCCCCAGCCCTTTTTCTTTTTTTATTTGGAAATTGAGTCTAAATCACTAAATTGACCTGGCTGGGCTTAAATTTTGAGATCTTCCTGCCTCAAATTCCCAGAGTTCTGGAATTACAGGCATATGCCACCACACCCACCTCCCTGGCATTATTAAAAACTGCTACACAGGCTGGGGATTTAGCTCAGTGTTTCTGACGCCTGCACCCGAATTTGATCCCTGGTACCAAAAAAACAAAAACTAAACAAAACAAAACAAAAACCTGCTACACTGCCAGGTGTGGTGGCACACGCCTGTGATCCCAGAACTCTAGAGGCTGAGGCAGGAGGATCACTATGAGTTCAAGGCTACATAGTGAGTTCAAGGCTAGCCTGGACTATATAGCAAGACCCTGTCTCAAAAAAACAAAAACAAAAACAAAACAAAAACTGCTACACCATACAATTAAAAATAAAGAGAGAGAAAAGAAAAATTACCCTGAAAAATAAGATTTAATGTTGATACAAGGGAAGGAAGAAAGCTGCAAATAATTGGGCTAACATTTCATAAAGAAAAAAATCGCAAAATGATAGTGTCAGGCCTGCCCTAAATCAACAGGGAAAATAAACAGGCTGCTTTTAACAAATACCAGCAGCTTCCCAGTAAGTAAGGCAAATGAACTAAAAAATATGGCTTACAACCCCCTGACACCAAAAAGTCCAGTAATTGTATACATATCTGTCCAGACCATCCTTGGGCAGCTAAGTCATAAATATGTCACCCCAGATCACTTAGCCCCTTCAATACCTATAGAAGTTTAATTCCTTTCCCAGTTAATTGCTAATATCTCTCTCCCTTGGTAGTAGCCCATCTTGTCAGGGATGAATTCTCTCCCGGCTAAAGCCCC